AAAAGAGGCTAACCGGCAACACAACCGTGACATTGACGTGAAATAAGCCGACATTTCAATGCTATGTTTTTTCCCACATGAAATACACGCGCATTTTTGCATAAATCAAACACGTATTTTAACAACAATAATATGTCCGTAATACTAATTTAAGCTTCGTGTGTGCGTGTGTAAGTGTGTCTGCATACACAGCCTGTATGCCTAAAAAATGAACTTCGAGATTAAAAAAAGGATAACTGAAAGTCTAAAAGCCCAATCCTTGGCTATTAGTAATTGGAATCCCGATCAAGATCATCCTTCAGATCTTTATGCATTCTTACCTTCAGTTTCCCAATTCTCTGACTTTTAATTCATTGAGTAATGTGAAACGGGCAGTCCGAAAACAAATTTCACACTTTACCATATCATTTACATCGGAATTTCGATTTAGGAAATATTTTGTGCTTACGAAATGCACTTCCTACTTCTTTTTTTTCTTACAGCAAGATTTTAAGTCCACACTTGCCTCGAGCTTTTGCAACTGGAATCGTTTCGTTCCCGCTCCCGATGATGTGAAATCTGAGGCTGCGGGGCGACCATCATCTGTAGAAAGCTGAGTTGCTTAGTTGCTTAGAAACAAAATTACCAAAATTTACAGCCTAAAATTACAGTACACTTTTTTAATCGCTAATTAGTTATGGTTGGCGCAAATACCAGAGCAAATGATATAATAACATATTAATATTACAAGGTCCAGTTGTGGTGCTGAACAGGAATATGTGTGTATGAGTTACTGGACTGAAACATTCCTGTTCATCTGACTACTTTTAATATTTTTTTTTTGTTTTTTACTTATATCATTACCAATATTTTTATTAGCAATGCACAAGATTTTTGATGAATTATTCCAAACTACTCGCCACGTTTTCCGAATTGCAGTGGGACAAAACAAACGTTTGTATCCTGGCATCAGGCCTTTCAACAAACACTGATAGCTTAGCTATCAGCAAGTGACTATCAAAAAAAAAGAAAAAACAGTGATAATGAAAGATGGCTCAAAACAGGACTTTTTAGATGAGCATTACATTTATATTGTCACGGTGAGACAAAAATGATTCAGTGAAACCCCTACTGTTTAGCGAAATGTTCTTGTCTTACAATTAGATTTTGAGTGATGGCTCCTGTGGAATGCAATGTTCAAACTGATTGTAACTCATATTGACGGGAAGCGCCCGATTTCCGGTGGATTCCCCTGCCCCTCCTGCTCCGTGACAACGCATCCAGCTTCGCAACGGTATCACCGATAGCTTCCGGCTTAAAGTTGACTTCTCAGAGCTGAGAAACCGGTTCAGCTAGCAAACTGAATTCTCTTGGTCTGTCTCCTGCACTTCCATTTGGGTCTAGTAAAACGTAACAATCAGCAGCACGGCATCCCAGGAAGGAAGGTGTCGCAACGATCGATAAACATAGTAATAAATTAATGATATATCCAGAAGGCTAAAATCTCTGCTAATTAGAAGCATTCGTCGGGAGATTCACTGAGCTGGTAATCCCATCAAGAGATGAAACAAAAACAAGCCTGTTTACCAGCGTATATAGCAGCATAATGGTCATATCTTACCACAAATCACGTTTGATCAACGCTTTTATTACAAAAAAGAAAAAAGGCACATAATAAAAAATGCATGAAACTGCACCAGGGGTGAACAGTTTTGGGGCAAGTCTATCTTAGCAGTTTCAAAAATGAGTATGACAAAAAAAAGTCAGTTGAAAGAAGAAAATGCAGAATTTAAAGATCGAAATGGCTAGCAGCAAAAACTGGAAAGTTTTACTGTACTGTGTGAAAAAAGAACAGAAATTCCTGTAAAGAAAAATTACTACGACCTCAATTTTTCACAAAAAATAAAAAAAAAAAGCAGATTCTACGTTTTAAAAATATTTCTGGACAAATTTCTTTGATGTGCTAAATTTTTCATGACATTTTTTATGTAAATACTCGGAAAGAAAATTTATTTCTTCACCCTTTCAAAAGGGGAAGTTTCTTCTTGA